ATCAATTCCTACTTTAGCACACTGTTTACAATTGATCAAACATTCAAAGAATGTTTTTTGCATGTTAATAAAAATATCCTCATTTGCTACCTGTTTGGCACATGTTGCCAAATCTTGATCTAAGGCATAGAATTTGTATAGGCAAAATGCATTATTATTATATATTAATAATTTAAAATTAAAACAAATAATTTTTTACTATTGGCAATTATTATTTATAATTATAATTTCTTGTGTTTTATCAAGTTAAAAAAATTTATTTTAATCAAGGAATTGTTGCTCTGTTTAAAGTTGGCCTTGTTAAGTAACTTTCACTTTTTTTTTTATGTTTGTTGTTATTTTTAGATTGTGGTTATTCTGAAAATAGGAAGTTTGATTCCTAAAACATTTTTCAAGAAATAGAAAAGACTTACTTAAGTCCTTTAAAAATTTTAATTTAATTTTTAAGAATAAAAGTAATTAAATACATGTAATTTCATTATTGTCACTTTGCACTGTTATTATACATTGATAATTAAAATCAGAAATCAATAACTACTCATTATTAACAAATTTTACAATATTTAGATAATTTCTATTTGAGCTTAAGTTAAAGCCAAAATTATAATGCCGAATATAATCAAATATCACTTAATTGTTTAAAACTATATTTATATTAGTTTTAATTAATTAATTAAAAATAGTGTAAACAGAGCCTAAAAAATCCAGTGGTATTTGGTTTATGTTTATAATTTATATCGTTTTATGTTCCAAAGCTTTTCAATTATGTAATTTAAATTATATTTATTACTGTATTTTATAGAATATAAGGCAAACTCTGATTTCGGCACAGAATATTTATAAAAAAGTATTTAGTGTATTTTAGCCATCCTCTGCTTTTGGCACTCAGCCCCAAATTTTTTCTAAAAAAAATTTTTCTGGTTAAAAAAAGTAAAATCAGAATGCACACTTTTATTTATCAAGGAAAAAGAGTTGTTTAAAAGAAGTCATTTATAATTAAAACTTACCATTAAAATATTCTACATTAATAATGCAAAAGCTTCTAGCTGTAGCAAAAAATATATATCTTCTAGCTACAGCAAAAAATATATATGTTACCAGCAAAGTTCAAAATCCGGCATTGTATATAATGCCTAAAACTAGCTGGCAATCTATGAAATGATTCATATTTTACAAATTTCCTAGGCATTCTATAGAATGCCAAATGTGAAATTGTCAAAGTATGAAATACATCTCCAATTTGTTTTGAATATCATGTGGCAGGCACATGATTTTTAATGTGCGCCTCAGGCTTAGAATTTGTCAGTTGCACTTTGTGGTTTGTTCGGGAGTGTCGAAATACGCAATTTTACTTAAATTTGTTCAACAAAAAATCAGTTTTTTACTGTGCTCCATGAAAATGGAGGAGTACAAAGCTTTAGTGTTGGAGAAGGTGTCATGGTCTATAGACATGAAACAATGATTTGACAATGAACTGCCCAAAATTCAAGTTAATGCTGCAAAAAACAGTATTTTCTTAACCGAAACTACTTTCCAGAAGTTAATAAATGATGTACAAAAAGACAAAATGACTACTAAGAAGGAACCCAGGGACTATTGGGTGCTGAATTGCTATGTGATGATTGTAGAAAACAAAAGTAAACTCATTTATCCTGTTAAAGAATGCGTCAATACTATACAGTATTACATCATGGATTCAGAATTATTTCACGTACTTCATGAAGCTCATTTCGCTATTGGACACGGAGGACATGATAGAATGTTGAAAGAACTTTCAACCAAATACAAAAACATTACACGTCATGATATTGAACTGTACATCCACCTTTGTGAATCTTGCCAGAAAAAACAGAAAGGTATAAAAAAGGGCATTGTTGCGAAACCTATAATTTTTTCCAAATTTAATTCCTGTTGTCAGGTAGATCTTATTGACTTTCAGTCTCAGCCAGATAGAGAATACAAATTTATTATGGTGTACCAAGATCATATCACAAAATTTGTGATTCTTAACCCTCTAACATCAAAAAGAGCTGAAGAAGTAGCTTACAACCTAGTGGACATATTGTCGTTGCTTTGAGTGCCATCTATATTATAGTCTGACAATGGTAGGGAATTTGCCAATAATGTGGTGACCAGCTTGAAGGAATTTTGGCCAGCATTGAAGATCGTCCATGTGAAACCTCACCATTCACAAAGCCAAGGTAGTGTCAAAAGAGCTAATCAAGATATCGAAAATATGCTCTGTACTTGGATGCAGGAAAACAAATCTAAGTGCTGGAGTGAAGGACTGCATTTCGTTCAATTTATGAAAAATAGAGCTTATCATTCTGGGATCAAAAGAACACCATATGAAGCTCTTTTTGGTTGCAAACCTAAAGTAGGGCTTACAACGTCTTTTCTACCAGATGTTTTAAAAGACATAAATACAGAGGAGGAGCCAGAAAAAGTAATAGAAAGCATCAAAACAATGGAAGAAGGTGAAACTAATCAGATTATGCAAGAAAAAGAGCCTGTTTTAAAAAACATGGATGAGATTATAGTCGTTAGTGGATTAAACCAACATGATGAAGACATGCTTACCAAAGAGATTTCCATTTCTGATACCTGTTGTGTGTGTTTAAAGGAAACAAGTGATGCACTTGCATGCAAAAAATGCCGTCAAAAAATTCATACCTTCTGTGGCCATGTTAGTAAAGATGATGAAATAGATATTTTGTGCACCCTTTCTTTCAAAACTGAAAATGCTATTGAAGGTAAAATAAATTCTAAAATCAATCTGAAAATATAAGCAAAAAAAAAAAAAACTGAAAATGATGAATTCGGAAAAAAATTTCCCACTGCTTCTTTGGGAACTACTGTGCAAGTTCCTATTCCTGATGTCAACAAGGAGCAATTGCGCAATATATTGGCAGTTGTAATGAGAGTGATAGAGGATGGTTTCTACTGACTTGGAACTTCTGAAGGAATTTTAAAACAAGTATATGCGAGATCACAATTCACTTTATGCCCTAAGAACTTGCTTAGAATTGAAGATATTCCTGACCATGAAATTCCTCTCCGGTCAGTTGCAATTGCTCAGTCCAGTGGAAGCGGCCAAGGATTTGTCAAATGTACATGTAAAACAGTGTTTCTCAACAGGGGCAATATCGCCCCCTTGTGGGCGTTTTTCCATGTTGAGGGAGCAATTAGTAACAATTTATATTTTGGAGGGCAAAAAACAATTTTCTGGGTAATATAGTGAAACATTATACTAAGAATAATTAGATATTTTATTCGTTATATCGTACAATAATTAAACAAATAACATTATACTAGTCACTAGTCTATTCAACGAAGTATGAATTTGGTGTTTAGCCTTGGCCCTTGGCATCGGAATTTTGAAGTGAAGGGGGCGATACTACATAACGGTTTTATTGAAGGGGGCGACGATTTGTTAGAGGTTGAGAAACACTGGTGTAAAACAAAGTGCCAAAATATGAAATGTCTTTGCATGAAAAATGTAATGAAATGTAATTCAAAATGCCATTCAAGCCTACCATGTTGCAACAAGTAGGTTAATTTTAATTTCTCATTTTTTATATGAAAATTTTGTTTCCCTTAATAAAAAAAACATAAATTTTGTTTTGTACAACTTTCATTTTTCTTTATGTATTTTGAATAAATTTTTTTAATGGCACTCTCATTATTTTTTCAGAATAACATTTGTATTTTTGAGGAATGTACTTCATTTATATAATAGCCTTATCAGGACCTTTTTTCATACTTTGCCTAAATAGCATTTGTCATTCTATAGAATGCCTAGGTATTGTAGACAATGCCTAGGAAAAGTATATAATAATTCTCATATTTCATATATTGCCTGAAAATGCTGGGCATTATGTAGAATGCTTTTCATACTTTGCTAGTAACATATATATAAAGAGCAAGCTACCATATTTTCTATTGAACATAAAGCAGATCAGTAAAGCAGAAGACCTTTAAAATTAAAATATCCTACATGATTACTTTACATTCAAAATGCTTCTTAGACATAGCAAAAAATTATTTTAAAATTAAAATACACAATGATTACAAATTTTGGTTATATGGTATATGCAATTTAGGGAATTTATTAGCCTATGGGAGATTATAACTTCACATATGAGATGCAGTGCAATTGTTTTGAGCCTTTACTTAACCAAATGTTGCATCTGACTGTATTTTCACAGATTGTCCAGCATGTTAATCTATCTAGGGAGACCTGAAATCAGATATTTCTGCATGGTATAAACCAGATGCCGATTTTATAATTACTCCATTTATGCCAGCATTTACTCTGGGGAAATGCTGGCATGCCAGTTTAAGTGAGGTTATACATCCCTTTCTAGAGGATGCATTAAAAAACAAATGAGTGTTTATTCTAAAACTATGAAATTGTCAGCATTACAACAAAAACTATGATTATATGTTTAAATTTTTCATTTTATCTTTTTTCTGACAATGTAAAATACTCATGAAATGCTGAAAGTGTTTTTTTAATGTCTATTTTATTGTAATTGGATTCGAAAATGCAAAAATAGACATATTTAATTTCAGAAACTGACTGTAAATTATCTCAACTTAATCTGATTAACATCCCCTTCATGCGAAATTTGAGAGAAAGGTGTTATTTTTAAGGTGAGGGTGGATTGTCAGTGTAGCCCACACTGACTAACTATAGCTACTACTAATACTAGTGCTAGTATCAATAAGCGGTTAATTGTTTTATTGTCTTTAAAAACTCTTCTGATTTTAAGTCAGTCAAACCACAATGTTATTGTACCTGGAAGAATGTTTTCTTTAACATTTACAGTAATTAACAACTAGGTTTGTTAGATCTGATTAATTTTATTTTTAGTCACAGTTTAACTAGCATGTTGTTCTCCCCTGGTTATATGCTGCTGGTCATTCCAAAAAATTATGGTATATGTTGTAAAATAAGGAAATTAATAAAAGATTTAATTTCATTTTACAATACATACCTTTTCTGATTTATCCAACAACACTTCCAGTGCCATTCCACCACCAGGAATCCAAGGATAAGGCTTGGCCTAAATGACAATAAATAATAATAATAAATAATAAAACTAATTTCAGTCTTTTATAATATAGAGTAAGTTTAAAAATATATTCTATAAATTTATAATTTCATCCTTAAATACATCAAATGACTTTAAATGTTTTAAAGAACTTATACACTTTCAGAAGACTTAAACAGTAATTACAAAAGGAATTATTAAATATCCATAAAATGTTTATATCTTAAGTATAATCTTTACAAAATTATTTATTATTATTATAAAGGGTGTCCCTAAAGTCTGGATACATAGGCAAAAATACATATTTTCAAGAAATTAAATTTATTAACAACATTTTATTCAATTGGAACATTAAATAACATCTTCATGATGATTTCTATCATTTTCAGAAAAAGAAGTCAAAGGGGCTAAGGTCAGGTGAATGAGGAGACCACTCCAAATGACCATGACTATGCATGTGGTCATGTGGGCAGTGAACTTGAATGATATGACCATCCTTCATGTCCACTGAGAATTACCAGTTCAATTCTTTCTTCTTTCAACAAAGTCATACTTAATCTGTGAGGGAAAAATTATAGTTAAATGAGATTTCCTGTGTGTTCAGACTTTAGGGACACCCTGTAGTATAAACCCCATTTATGAGCATACCTAGTTTCTGAAGAAATTGACAAGGGACATACCATATTGATTTACACTTTCAAATTTCCCCCAATCCACGGTCTCAAGTTTCCTCAACCCATTGGTATGCTACCAGGTGGCAGCACTGGACAGAGGGTACATTTATTTAGCCACTGTCAATACATGAGCCAACATTATTGAGAGTGATCATCAAGGATTGCACAATGGTGAATGACTTGGTTTTTCTGGAAAAACATATGGGTACTGCATAGATTCACAAATGATTGGTGGCAGTGTGTGAAAAAAATGTGAAATGGATGAAAAGGTGTGCTTCTGCAACATAACAATGCATGTCCCCAAACCAATGAGGAAATAACTGCTGCCATTGACAAATTGGTGTTCCAGTTACATCCACATCTTTTGTACTTCCTCAATTTGATCCCTTCTGACTATCACCTGTTTGAAGTCTTGAAGAAATCCCTGTGTGGATGTCATTTTGCAGATTTCAAAGAACAGAAAGCAGCTGTTCAGGTATAGGGGCAATATAATCCCAGAAAGTGGTTCAAGGATGACCTGGAAAGGCTGTCACACCAGTGGCACAAGTGTATACAGCTGAAGGGAAACTATATTGAGAAGGTAGACTTACCTACTGAGTTGTAAGTAATTTGTTTGTATTGAAATAAAAATAATAAAAAAGTGTAAATCAAAATAGTATGCTCCTCATGTAAATTGAAATCATAAATAGAAACAAGCATTTCCATTATTTCTTATGATTGAAATTTGGACCTCATTCCAATACAACACTGTTATCCTATCCTTTTCTCTAATATGGATATATGTAGCAATACAGTCAGGCATAGAGGTATCCTGTGACAGATTCGCCCACAGATATAAGATACAACTCCAGTTCCCTCATAGATGGCCAAAGATGATATTTCATCTGATCCCACAAATGCTCAAATGGACAAAACTGGACATCAGGCAAGCTAATGAGAGGTGATAACATGATATAATACAATGTCACTTCACGCCAACATTTATTATATGATTATAACACTAACATGTTGTGGCGTTACAGGAGTGGAGTCTTAAAGAATGAACTCGTCCGACTTTAGAAAATGAACTCTTTTGAATGACTTTAAAATGAGGTGATAACATGATGGAGACATTCCTAGAAAATCCTAGCTGTGTTCAGTCACATATTATCTTGTTGGAAAATGGATGTTTGCAGCTCTGCCATAAAAAACATGAAGGTGTATGAGTTTATGAACTTCCACTATACAATGGGTGATCGGTTAATGAACATAATCTGTTCCAAGACTTTGTTTGCTATCTAAATTGTTCATTAACCGATTATTGATTTGCCATAGGTTTTTATAGGAATTTGATTATTTCATTCTGGAGATCCCAAAAAATAAAATACATAATTTCTTACTACATTTATTTATATGTAATAATAAAAATACATATATACACAGTCTTGCATTTTTATTAGTCATGTTTTTTCCGTTTGTGGGGGTTAAAGAATCTGTCTAATGTTGATTGCTTTTCTCTCTTCTTCAGGATTTTTCAGAAGTAATTAATAGCATTGTAATTGTAGAGATCCCTAAGCCTATTAATCTCAACCTGGTTTGTATGCCATTCTAAGACTGTTGTTCTGACACTCTCCCACTTTTTCAAAAGATCTTTAATAGCAGATATCAGCATTAATCCTCTTTTTCAGAAGAAAACAAATCTCGCTGAGTTTCTTGGTGTTCTTCATTCAAGCGTTCTTGGCATTCTGCTATCGTCAGATCAGTTTCAGGTTCCATTATGAGTTCTTCAATGTTCTTTATTTCTCAGATGTGATTTTTGTTACTCCTTTAGCTGCTTGAGTCTTCTTGATTATACTGTATCTTTCTTAGATAAGATTGAACTGCGGCCTACTGTAGACATGTTCAAGCCATACTGCCCAGCAACATCAGACATCTTCAGCCCACTCTCTACCTTTGCTATTATACTCTCACCTTTTGAAAATAAAAACTGAAACAAAACTTAACGAGTACCTGCCTGACAGTCTCACAAATACAATAAAAGAATTGTTTCTGTCAGAAAAATAAAAGGCTGCAATTGAGAGTTTCAAAGTTCAAAGGAATATTATCCAATCTGTATATACCAGGTTGAGTGTTGATGTCAATGTCGACATCGACATCTCCTGTGCTCCGAAAAGTTTTGAATTGTTACCTGAAGACAAGGGAAGACCAATCAGTATTCATTATTTTACATCACTTATTCTTGTGTTTGTTCTGTGAGGTATTCATTGTCTGAACATAAAAATCTTTCATAAAAGTGTTCATTATCCGATTTGTTCGTTAACCGATCACCCACTGTATCTAACATCCACATAAAACTGCTAGAGATATACAATTTGTTATATGAATTATTTGTTATATACCAAAATTTGTTACTAAAGACATGCTAAGTTCATGTTTCTCTGTCATAGCACCACTGCAAACAAAGCCAACAATGCTGGAGTGCTAACTAGGATGTGTAGCAATCACTGTGCATGCAAATTTGTCTCTGCTAGTTGCCTTCCAATGGTACAGTACAGGAAGAGATAATTCTGTAGTAAAGTATCTGCTTGCTACCTGGATGATGGACACAAACACAACTGTATCTACTTGTGCTTGTTTTACAATCACATAATCAACTCTCTTAGTCTGTCTGGGACATCCATACCCTGGCTGCTAGTATGTGTGTCCTGGTGTAACCACTGTCCTAACATCTCACAGTTAGGCCAGAATAGGCACAATTCATCCAAGCCAGTCCATCTTACTTCTCATAACCTAATGATGTAGCTTTCATTTGCTGTGCATAATGTCTTTGACTGCATTGTACTGTACATGTTTGTACAATTGCCTTGTGTATTGAGACCTCCAACAACAGATACATTGAAAATTCTGAAAACAATGAACATCTTTGAGCCTCTGAAGTAATGATTTTAAGGTACTAGAGTGGCATTACATGTCATTCAATCAACCCAATCCTTAACTGTAATCGTTTGAGACATAGCTTTACGCTGAATTTTGTAGTAACCAGACAGTTTTATCTGAGTAAGTAACTTTTTTGTCAATGAGTGCACGTATGTTATCATTTCTTTATTTAATCTTAAGGAAACAAGAGAAAGTTAAGACATTAAATAACAGAAAACAAAACAATAACCAATGTACCAGGAACCTGTTGCCGGTGTGCTTCTCGGTAAACAGAGCATTACGAACGTTTTTGAACTTGACAGTTCTTCAGGTAACATACGACTGTTAATCAAATGCAATTCAAATTCAATTCCTATTAGAATACCATTAAGAATTTATCGCATGGATCCATGTTGTCATTCATGCATGCGCCCTTTTGCCGATTGTAAATTATCCTAAGTTCTTATCTACGAGCACCTGCCATGCAGTTGACAGGGTGATTTCGTCTTTGCTGTTAATGCAATTGTCATCTTTTAGTGTAGCCATACAGATGTACAGTGCCTCTAGCCATCTAAGATGGTGTGTACATACACATCATCTTAGATGGCTACTGCATGGCATGGATAATACCCATTTATTATTCCCAATTGTATACAAATCATTTGTATACATATTAGTACCCAATTGTATACATCATAATACCCAATTGTAATACAAATCATTTGTATTACAATTGACATAGCTATTATTACCCTGATAACAAGTACTAATGAGAGAGAGAGAGAGTTTACAATTATTGCGCGCAAGGATAAATACCTTGATATAAGTTGTAGAATAGTTGGAAATTTAGTCCATGAGTCTCGAGATGGCACAAAGTCCTTCAGAACAACAACAATGCTCCCTTAAGCTCTCACAAGGTTCCATCCCATCCACGGTAATCGTTCCCAGGCGGCGGCGATTAGAACATCCAAGGGCAGTGGCTATTAATCCACACACATACACAGTTCACTCAAAACTGGAGACTTTCTTTGACACATCGACCCCTCCTTTTTATAAAGTAAGTTATCGTTGGGTTTTTCCCACTGCCATATTAGGACTTCTGTTCACCACCATCCAATAGTTGGTTTTCTTTTGCTTTTTGTACAAATCGGATGACACATTCGATGTATCATCATCAACTAGGAAGTAAATCCATGGGAAAACAATTTAATTATCTTTAAAATGTTGAGTTTTTGTTTATCTCTCTCTCTAACTTAAAAATAAAACAATAATTTATTTTACAACAACAAAATTTAAACAAACCATTTCACCAAGTTCGGCTCTCACAAATGATAAATATGTCAATATTTTAATTACAACAAAATAACGAGAACGTAGTGCATCAAGAGCATTAATATGGAAAGACCATCATGTTGGAGAAACTCATGTTTATGCTAAGTTGATTTAATTCGTTTCCATTAACATTTGTGGGTTCCCAGACGAAGTTCAAACTTGAGTAAACCATGAAATTCTTGCATGACACAAGATGTAAACAACAAGACTCAGAACTGTTTGAGTATGTGTCAAACTATCTGCCAAGGTCTTAGCGGAAGACAAACTCTAACACAAGCGCTCATAAACAGGTAGATCATTAATTCACAAGTCTATAAAATGTTGGCCGAGATAAACCTTTTCGAACAAAAAAAAATTTTTTAATAGATGAAAGATGAAAATGATCGTTAAATTCTTAGATGTCAAAAAATGGTATAAACAACGGCCTGAGTTATGAGTGCAGGTGTTATTGTTTTATAAATACCGAGCAGAGTCAACAAAGAAGTATCAGATGGACATCTCGAATTGGACCTTTCCCGCAACCTGAAAAAGTTTCATCTTGCACCTGGAGACAAAGGAGAGACCAATCAGGAAGTGAGGAATGGGACAAGGGACCGATCCAAAATGCGAATAGTGGGGGAAAAACTATAAAAATCGAAACTTCAAGGTTGAAGAGGAGTCTCCTCTGGATTAAGCTACAGTACTTTATCTATTGTGTTGTGCTATTGCTGATCACCTAGGACACCGCAGCTTAATACCAAACATCTGCATCATCCAGCAATCCTTCTCGTCTGCCCGGGCTACGACCGATCACCCGAATTCTCACCATTTCATAGGAACACCTAGATTTTGGAATTATCCAATATCGATGTAAGCATGAATTTGAACAAATAAATGGGTTTTCTCTTGTAAAACACTTGTTCTTCATTTGCCTCCTTCGCCACCACCCACATACGCGGTTTCCCTTAGGCTCATTCTGATGCAGAATAAATTGTACTCCCCTTGAAGTTGGCAACCTTACACTGGCATCAGAAGTTGGATTTTAGGCCCAATCTACACCAGTGTTAACCTTACACATTGCCCAATGCCTAACAGAATTCGAAAAAAAAAATTTTTCTAACTGTTCATAAAATTGCCTGACTTCTTGTACTTTAATGACACTGTCGTTGATCACTAAATTCAAATTATGAGAACAGCAATGTACAAATCTGGCAGCAGAATTTTGTTGTTTAATTTTTGCTTGTAACCCCAAGTAGGTACCACTCATATTCTCAGTCCTGTCGTAACCTTGACCACACAATTTTGATAGATCGATGAAATTTTCAATACATTTTAGAAATGTTGTTTCTAATCCTTGTGATGTTTGATCAGTAATCTGAATAAAATCCACAAAATGTTTCCTTTATTTGCAGCTCGACTGGTTTTTCATTTTCATCTTTTTTTTTTATTAAAACATAATGGAATACGATACTTATATGATTGAGTTTTGATAGATCTTGTGTTGTATCTGTTATTACTGTTATGAAAGCAGCCTCTTCCATTTCACTTTTAATTTGGACATTAATTTCATGTGCAATATAATTAATTCATTTTGTATATCTGGACTCAAGTAATTGGTACTGCCTTTGGGTTTATTTAATAGATCTGCTAAAACATCATCATAGCAATAGCAAGAAAGTAATTTAATTATTTCTAGAAAGTTTCCTTGTGAAGTTCCTACATCTTAAAGATCTGTAATTCTATGATCTCGGAAAAGTAAATTATTTATAGCAAGTGTTACAGTTACATCTACTATACATTGCAACACTTTGTGCCAATAATTTACTGCATTGTTGATTTCTTGCTGACTAACAACATCTATGGTTGAACCATTTTTTCATTAGTCAGGAAAGGAGTAAACAAGGCAATAAAATACTTAGCCGGTTCTAGAGATAAGAGGCTTGTTTTGTCTAAAAGCCAGGTGTGTGTGACTAATAAATGTACAAAGTTCAGCGAATTTCTATAAATTAATTACTTTTGTTTTGTTTGAAAATTTGAAATTTTATTATAAGTTTTTTACAAATGTTTTTACAAGTTTTTATTTCACCTTTCTAATTTGGCGTACTCATGATACGTGCACCAGGAACACTTTGCTCCAACTGCTCCATGGCAGCTATGACCCTGCTTACAGAGCCTCTTATAGACAACTCAAACTTGTGACTCATGTTGATGCTTTCCATTTCCATCATCGATTCCTGAAGTGTGGCAAATTGATTATTTTTTTGGTTCAAATGGCAGAGAATTTTGTAATTCCTTCGCAAAGATGTGTGGCTACTATGAAGTAAATATCTGTGTTTCAGAATGTCTTAATATTTGTGATACTAGGAACTATTAACAGTAGAATTGGAACAGTTCAGTCTCTGAGTACTTTGGGTCATAGTCAGACCTTCCTTTCATAAAATTTTAATGTCAACTCATACATCTTAAGCATACTGTACAGTTAATTATCAACACAACACTTACAAGCTTAAACAGCACATAGCAATAATTAAACATCATAATAAGCAGTTTATTATGTGCCTTTCATTTATGTTAGCAGATGACATAGTATTATATAATATGAATGATACAATCCTTTGTAACGATATCATGCAATGTTGGTTCAACACTTTATAACTGTTACTTAAGATATTGTACCCCTTAATATTACATTTAGAAAAAGATATATATATGTTTCAATTGATCTCTGCAATACTTTAGAACACCAATGTAACATTGTGTAATTCTATGCACACTAGTTTAACAGTGTAATCCTGTGCCTAATTGCAACTATACTGTCATTTGACAATGAGTAATTACAAATAGAAATAATATAAATTACTGACATAAAGAAATACTGACCTTTTCAACTTTGGCAATATTTTTTAAAGGTAAGACCAAGTTCTTTAAACTAGATGTCTTTGATCTTTCAAAACAGAGAAAACTATAAAACAAAAATATTAAAATTATTTAATATATAATATACATATAAAATATATTCTTGAATTTAAAGAGTATTTCAAATTTATTAAGTTTTAAGAAAGTATAGTTACCATAATGTCAAGATATAGTTTATTAATTCTGAATTAATAATACTCAAATAAAAATGATTCATTAAATACTATATGTAAGAATTTCAAGAGTTAAAACTGTACTAACTGAAAATAATGAATTTTAATTAGCAAAATTTGAAATACAGATAACATATGGCCATCTATTGTTAATGTTAATAAATTTAAATTTAATTAAAGCCAATTGATCCACTGTATTATTAGACTATAAATTTAATTAGATCTTGATAAACCTGAAAAATATCTAGACCAGGATTTGAGCCATAACTGTCATCTAATATGCAAATATATTTTATTTATACTCAGTCAAGTCTGCATAAATCGACACCTCAAGGGAAAGTGGAAATGTGTCAAGTTATCCGTTATGATGACTAAAATAAAGTTGAAAAAAAACCACAAAAGTACACTTAGGAAAATACAGTAGTGCTTTATACAGTCTCTGACCATCCATCACTGGCACTAAAGTGGGTTTCTACTCCAAGTACCTCGGCGATTTCCATTGCTTTTTGTTTCAGTATTGGCCCCAAAATAGGAAGATTTGATGAACGAATTTGCTTTAGCCAACATACCAGAGCATCTTCCACTTCTTTGTATGGCAACTTTCTTTGGTGTTATCAAGACAGCAATGACAAAAACCCAAGAAAAAGTTTCTTAATTTCCACTCTTTTTCTTCAGAATTCCCACCAATGTTGTTATTGGATGATTTTCTTGTTTTGCAAATTCGACTTGTGAAGTTTTATTACATTCAAATTCAGATGCAAATTTGTATTTTTCCTTCAATGTAAGCATTGTTAGCTTTCAGATACTTATTTCTAACAGAAATGTGAAACACGTACTACAAATAATGCATGAATGAAAAGTGAGAAAATGCAAAAATTGGATTCTGCTGTGATGTTGATATAGATTGCATATTTTCTTTTTGTTTATTTGTTGTTATTTTATATACAAAAAACATAAAATGTTAAGGTATTTTTATTAATATGTATATATTAATAAATAAGTCAATGCTCTTCCTGAAAAAAATGAGTTCACACCGCATGATAAGCTGTGTGGTGTGAACTCATTTTTTTTCAGGAGGGGAGTCAACTTATCAGACGTCTAAATGAGTGCGGGACAGAAAAAGTATGTCGATTTATCCAGTGGTGACAAGTTAAACGATGTTGAGTAAACCAGAGTTTTTTTATTGTTAATGCTTATGTAAATCGGCCAGAACCATAGAAAACTGACCATTTAACTGATGACGTCTAGTTATACCTATGACAACTTATGCAAACGCGACTGTTTACTCTTTTACAAAAACAACTGTCTGTATTATTACCTAATACCCATACTTCGGCAACTGGCAGGTGAACAGAAATAGTGATACTGATAACATTGTGGCTTTTCAAAATTAATTGCCATTAAAACAAAATATCAATCTCAATTGGATCCAGAGGATGACTTATGGCTTGCAATTTCCAAAACAGAACCGAGCATAGAAGCAATCATAAGTTCTTTGCAAGTGCATACCTCACATTGAATTCTTATGATGTTAAGTTTTTTAAAAATATTTTTCATTAAATAAAACAATTGTTTCATAAAATTATATGTTTTATTCAGACCTAATAAGGCAGAAACATAAGTGCAAATCCCACTTTAACTATGTTGACCATTAAAAAATCGTCTACTGTCTATCCAGGGGTCATGACAAAAATTTTACACAAAATGGGGGTTTGAAAATGAAAACAGTTTGTGCACCACTGGTCTAGACTTCATCAGAAACTAATTTAGCTACATATTAATTTTTGGCTATAACAGTTTCTCAAGAAGAGCAAAAACTAGGTTTAGATGAAAAAATATATATAGAGAATCAGACCAACCAAAAATGTAAGTAATACTATCAGAAAAAGATAATGGACATGTTTGTCATAAACAGTGTAATCTGATTACCAATCAAAGAGTAGGTTTTTAGAGCTCTCAGTAAAAAAAACTATTGAGCAAATTTCAACTGAATTAGATGTATACACTGTCCTAAACATGTAATTGATTTTTTTCAAAAAATTTTACTTCAAAACTCAACCACTAAAATAAAATTTGGTGTTTCTGTTCCTTTAGTATGCATATTATGTACATTATCCAATGAATTTCAAGAGTTAAGAAACAAAATGCAATAATTTATTTCAATTACAGTATAGCATCGATTATCTGACCCCCGATCAACCGTCACATCAGTTAACCGACCGTTCTAGTCGGCAAATTTCAAATGTCCGCTAGTGATGTGGCACTACAATATTTGGCTGTCTTGGCTACTTTAATATTATTTTTGTTAAATTTTTGCATGTTTTAGCTGGCAACACCGGCTCCACCATGAAAGGGAGGCCAATATTTAAATGAGGCTTAATTTTCTAATTATGAGTGGTTGTTTGTTTTGTGAGCAATAAAATAATTTTTAACGATACAATAGCGACAATTATTATTTTAAAAAAATTTGTTAGGTTTAACATCGATGAAAATTCAACACAAAGTAGGTTAATAGAGATATACAGTAGAGAATCGATTATCCAACTCGATTGGGGACTGGGGTTGGTCGGATAACTGAAAAAACGAATAACTGAAAAATATGAAAAAATACATTATTAGTATAGTATATTAGTATATCTCATGTAATTAGTATATTAGTATATCGCTATTAACCTACTTCGCATTGAATTTTCATCGATGTTAAACCTAATAAAAATTTTTAAAAAATAATAATCGTCGCTATTGTATTGTTAAAAATTAGAAAATTAAGCCTCGTTTAAATACTGGCTCCCTTTCATGGTTGAGCCAGTGTTGCCAGCTAAAACACATAAAGTACTATTAAAGTAGCCAAGACATAGCCAAATATTGTAGCGCCACATCACTAGCGGACACTTGAATTTGATGACTAGAACGGTCGGTTAACCGATGTGACGATTAATTGGGGGTCGGATAATCGATGCTCTACTGTATATATGTGATTACAAATGTGAAATGTGTAATTTAAAATTATATTAAAGATTTAAAGTCTTTTTGAAGTGCCCAGTATAAAGTTAGTTAAATAAATTGCCTCTGTAATTTAATATAAACAATATTTATATAACTGCTCATACATGCCAATGAACTTATAAAATACAATACAAAAAGCTTTATATATATATATATACATACATACATATACAGGACTCCTATTAGCTGCTAATCAAATTATTTTTGCAAATAAAACTGTTTGTTGGACTAATGAAATCATGAACGCATTCATCAAATCACAAAAAGACTTCCCACAATTTTACATCAGGCTTGAAGCAACATTTTCTGTCAGAAATTCAAATGCCTGCCTACTGGTAGGCTGTATGTTAATGATCTCATTTTCCATAAACAGGGCATTGGCCTCTCATTGATATAGCACAAATTATGTCATTTCATGTAATCAGTGCTTTATTAGTAAATACTATAGATTTATTAATAGATAATTATCTACAGTGTTTGTTGTTAGGTTGCAAAACTCGCAAATTGTTGAGTCAGTTCAAATTCAGGGTTCATGCAGCATAGTGCCAAAATCAAATACTAGTGATAAAACCCCAGTTTATTTGTTTCAACATTTAGCATGAAATTGAATCACAAATCATACTTCGAGAAAACAGCAAAATGTAGAGCTGTGAAATACTGTTTTAAGCATTGTGATGAAATGTGTTATTCAGAATTATTCATTATAAAATTATTCAAAAATGATTGCTATTGCTAGTAAGGGGAAAACCAGAAAGTTTGGGTCTCGGATTTGAACGAAACTTGGTGAGTACATAGCCTTAAGTACAGCTCCTTGACCAAATAATAGATAGGACACACTGTTTAATTGTTTTGAAAAATTGGGCTTCTGAAAATTTAGTGTTTAGATTAAGTTATAAGTCTTTGGAAGTTCCATGTCCCAGATTGGTGATAACAGAGTGAATAAGACCCTAGGTACTGGATATAGATAATGCAGGTTTGAACCTTTGAAGTTTTAGTTTTAGTTTTGTTTTCTTAAATGTATAACTTTCTTATTTTACTGCATCATTAACATTATTATTACTATTATTATTCCTCATGTTTAAAGATTATAAAACAAGAAATTAAAAATTGTGATGTCATTTTCTGTCTACCAAAAACAATTTAACTCTTTAACATTGTAAATAAGACTTATTTCGTCACATATTCTACATACTATGTCCTCACAAGCAAATAAGCTTTGGATGTTACTGCACACAGACAAAAAAGACAAGTGATATGAAAATAGGATAGCATAGTCACAGTGTTTTATTTTTTTAATTGTTAATATTACGAACATATCCTCATGCACTTATCTTTGTTATGCTTCAAATGTCACAATACCACTATATTTGAAAATAAATATGAAGATAATTTTATTTAGCAATGTTAAGCCTTAAATCTAGAGAGGCTTGTTTTCCGTAAGCAGAAAATAATGTCACAATTCTTAATTCCTTGTTTTATAAGCTTTACATACAAGGAATAATAATAGTAATAATAATGCTGATGACATGGTAAAATAATAAAATAATGTCACACATAAAAAAAACGAAACTAAAATTCCAAAGATTCAAACCTACTGTGGCAGTATGCCATATATTATGTATACTGTATAAATTTTTATCATATTTTATTCTAATCTTTCACTATCCTTTTGTTCTTGTATATCTTTTTTTCCCTTATTCCGAAAATTTCGGACCTAACCCTTCCCAGCTAGGGTGGAGCAGAAAAGAAAACAGAGGGAGAAAAACCCTGAGGAAAAAACTCATGCTAGCTAACCACTTTTTGGCTGGACACCAGAGAGACAAGAAGTGTAGAAGGAAGAATCTTGGTCAGTTTCAGCAGATGATGAGGGATTGAGAAAGAGGTATTAGAGATAGAAATCATAAAGACATTATTCATAAGTGGTATAGGGACGACTTCTCCCTCATCATATACACTTAAGGAGCAGTTCAGCGAAGAAAAAGAAACTGGCTAAGACAAGGATTGGATTCAAATCAAAACACTGAAAAGAATATTCAAGCCCATTGAGTGCCCGTTCTAAAATTTCTTCTTTTTTCCCTCTTCTATCTATACATATATTCTAATAATTTAGTTATAAGTAGGTTAATATACTAGGTTAAGGACGCAGCCCATGATTGTAAAGTCCCCATACCATTATGTTTTGTTATCACCAGAAAGTAAAAATTGTGATGGTGCCTATTCTGCAAAAAGAAACACTGTATATATCAGTCGTGCAAGAAAAAAGAAAACAAGGGACTTGTCTAAGAGTTGGGATCTGTAGAAAATTTTGTTCAGATAAAAAAGTAAAGTTTTTTCTTGTATAATATACTTTGTCTAAATAGTTTTCACTAAAAACATTCACACTACATTGACTAGCTCCAGAGCATTGCTTCCAGCTATTGCCACTCCTAGACATAAAACTTCCAAATTCTTTAAGCTAAACACTAGATTTTCAGAGGCCATTTTTCTGGAAATGTTTGAAAAGTGGATACTGTTATTTGAATGAGAAGCTGTTTGTGTTTAAGACTACATGCACACTAAGTTTTGTTTGAATCAAAAACCTAAACTTCTAACCCTCTCCTTGTAAGTGACAGTTTAAAATGCTACTTTTGCCTTCCAGAGACCAAACTGATAAGGATACCAGTATCAACATTAATTAGTAAGTAAAAATAGTGACAAAAAAAATTTTAAACTGGCAAAATTGTGGCGATATTTTTAAATTTTTCAGAGCAACCTCTGCAAATTGGTAATCATTCAGGCAAAAAAAAAAAAAGTCTAATGTTCACTGCATCTATCAATATAACTCAAAAGAATGCAACAATAAATTAAATATTTTATAGCAGAGCCTAATATATTTATTACCTTTTGTATAAGACTTAATGTATAAAAATGCATAAAAATGATGTCATTTTGCTGCACACAATATGGGCTATGTGCTACATGCAAGAACTTAAATCCAGCTTAATGCACTTGAGTAAACCTATATTATGAATAAATCATAGTTAAAAATTGTAGTGTAGAAAATTTCTGATCTTAACACTTCCTGCTTCAGCAAAAATTCAAAAAAAGAAAAACAAATGCACCCTATATCATTATAATTTCAATATATAATTGAACTTTCATCTATTTGAATCTTTTCAAAATTAGTCAATCTAACCTGCATTCAAAAGAAATTATTTATTAAATTATAATTTTAAGATCTGAAAACTGAAACATTTGAATTCATGTCATTGTTCCTAAAAATATTTCCAACATCCCTCAATTATTTCCATCCCTTTAACTAAGTGATAAACTAGTCCAGAATGTAAACTACAAAGAAGTCACTTTAACCAATTATTCATTTTTTTTTCAATTTTTATTACAACATTAAATTCAACCTCAATATTCAATAAAATTCAAAAAATAATAGAATTATATGTTTCATTAGAACAGCACAGCACGGCTGTAGCACATGCACATGATTTCACCATGCATCCATAATTTTATTTAACTGCATTGCTACATCTCGTGTGAACATTTCAATAAATAAATTTGGCAAGATTACAAAATTAAGTCCACTCTAACATACTGAATTTAGAATATCCTAATGTAATTTGGGTAAACATTTACTGTAATTTAAAATAAAATAAATTAACATCATTTACTGATGAAATATATCTAAAAAACTGAATTTTTTTACTGAAATTGAAAAAACAAGAATCTTAATTATAATAAACAGAAAAGGTTGCATTTAATTTACAATAAAATTGTTACTAAATATTAAAACCACTGAAATATTAAAAATGAGAATTTTTGTAGTTCTCCTGTTTATTATAGCAGCATAATTTAACAAGGCTAAACACAAACAAGTAAAATGGCAAGACCATATTTGGGACAAGACTATGTCTTGGAGACTCACTACTAAGTGGAATCACTTTGATGCTCAAGGTTGGTCTCATTCGCATTCTCCAATCTTCTTTGGTATTGCTGGTTTTGAGCGTGACCTTTCAAACTTCACCAGCCATGACCACAAGGTCGTCTATGATGCATTTTTGGTGAAATTAACCAATCCAATTTCAAAATTTCTCAACGTTGCACATCACCCCAGATTGAATTTTTGTCAATGCCTAATGAAAATTTCCCATTTTTGAAAAAAATAATCCTGGCTGTCGTATCGTCCGAAATTATTTTTTTATTTTGCATAAACAATATATATACAGTAGAGCGTTGTTTATCCGAATCAATTGGGGACAAGGTCTGGATAACCGATTATGTACGAAAAAATATATTAACCTATCCCATGTTGAAATTTTTCTTTGTTGCGTGTCGCTTTGCTTTGAATTTTCGTTGATGTTAAGCCTAACATATACTTTTTAAAATAATAATCGTGGCTATTGTATCATTAAAAATTATTTCTTTATTTCTTACAAACAAAATAAATATATTGAAAAATATAAAAGCCAAAAATTATATACTTTAGAAAATGTTCTAGTATCAAAAATGTTCGATTCAGCATAACACACAGTCCTCAGAAAAACACCACACAAAAGTGCCAGTGCTGCCAGCTAAAACACACACACACACACCAACAAAAAAAAATATTGGAGTAGCCCAAGATATAGCCAAAGATTGCAGCACCACAGCACTAGCGAAAATTTAAATTTGCTGACTGGAATGCTTTCAGATAACCGACGTTTCGGATAAACGACGCTCTACTGTATTAATAAATGTAGAAAAAACAAATTATATTTCAAAAGTTAGTTTTAATATAAAATTATAATGACTAGCACCATCTACTTTGGAAAAAAGGTTCCAATGCTGAAACGAGATATCTCGGGTCAACTGGTCAAGGTCAGCATATCGCGACCAGAGATATGTCGCGAATAACACAAGTCAGAGAAATGGTATTTTTCCAAAGATAAGATTCATTTGTCAAAATTCAATTTCTCATTTTGAACTTCCCAATGCATGCATTTGTCAAAATTCAATTTCTCATTTTGAACTTCCCAATGCATGCATTTGTCAAAATTCGATTTCGCAACATTCATATTTCCAACTTTCCAACAAGCAATGCATGCACAAATCTCACACTACTGCCAGTTTGTAGAGAGTGTCACCATTTTGAATTTTACTTTGACTCAGTTCTCCGTCCCCCAAGTACCTACAAGTATGGTTTTTTTTTAATCCACGTATGATTTGGGCATCTAATACTCTGTGCCAAATTGCAACTCCTGACATGTACTGTACTCCTTCATACCTCTAAGCGGTTACCCAGCAGGCAGTACAATTTTATAAACAAGACATCATCTTGTTTATAAAATCATGTGAGGGAGAGAAGATGTAAGAAGAGAGAAAGAGGAGGGGGGAAGGATAGCAAAATATATAGTTTGAAGAAAGACTTCCATGCTGTGGGGAAGGGGTCAACATTGCAAAAATTAATAGCATTATTAATTATTGTGGGCAGCCTTATAAATTTCCACCTGCTCAAGATGTTTGAGAAAGTGAGAGCTGGGAAAAGTTATGCAAGAGGCTTGCATGATTGAAGTCCATAGCAAGGTCTGGATCAAAGAAGAAAATAGCCAATGCACTGTTGGCCAATAATCCTTTCATGATAGAAGTCACATAACCACATGCCCATTAAACACCCATCTCAAGGAACATTAGACTTTAGTTTGCATAATGATGCCTGTTCATCACAGGCAAAAATGTTAGCATCTCTGAATTTCTCTGCTAGACATTAGGCTTTTTGTGGTTTTAGTTTTATATATATATGGCAACATGGCAACATGGAATAAAAAATTTCAACAGAGGATATTAATAATTTTCAAAGCAAAAGAAAGGAGGTTTCAATTAATGACATAACAAATACAATGATGCACATCATTCATGAATATTAACCATACATGAAAAGAGAAGACAGATGTTTATCAGATCATAATAGATAAATATATATAGTTATTTAATAATTTTTTCTTGTAGACAAAGAGTTATTAAAAACTTTGTATGTAAATTTAAATTAACTTTTATATTACAAGCAACTGCAACAAAAATTAGCAATTATTAAAAAGATAAAAAAATATAATTTTTACCTGTTTGTTAAATATAATCTACCATTCTTAAAAGCTGATGTTAAGGATTTATCTTTGTTGATGAGAGTACACCTTCTACCTCCATGCCAAGCTAAGAAATTAACAAAATTTTTTATAAATTTTGTAACACAATAATTTAACTAACATAAAAATTATCTTAAAATATTAATAATAATTCATTTTATATAAAATTTTTCAGTTTCAATATATAATGTATTAACATTATATATTTAAACTAAAAAATTTAATATAAATGTTTAATATAAAGGAGTAATATAAGTTAAAAATTTTTTAAACATATGCAAATGAACAATTTATAAATTTTCAACATCTTTTAAATTCACTTGTCACAGATTTAATATGGAGGAATTGCAATTGATAACAACAAAATACTATTTAGGAATATCTACATTTTGTGAATATAATTTATAGTGCAAAATAACTTTATCCATTTTAGTTATAAGTTTATTTCAGGCCAAACTGTATTCCCCAAATAATAAGACCTAACCAGAAAATAAGCTCTAGCACAATTTTTCAGGATGCTCCTAATATAAGCTCTACCCCTAAAATAAGCCTCTGTTAAGATCATCAGCCAGGTGGTCATATTTAATATGTCCATTGCAACACATAACAGACATATTCAATTATAAATAATAATATTAATATGTAATTAAATATAAATAAATATTATTATTGACATCAATTATAATTTATATTATCATTTATTTTAAGTATTTGTAAATATCCAAGCAAGCACATTTGGATGAGACATCCCCTGAAAAAAGACCTAATGTATCTTTTGGAGCAAAAATTAATATAAGACCCAGTCTTATTTTTTGGGAAACATGGTATATAAAATCTTAAGAAACAAATAAAACAAGATAACAATGGCCATAAATAAAAAGATTCAATATGAGAGCATTTTACCTATTGTTATTTTTGTGTAATTTTGAAAATGCAAAAATGGATTTTCTTATGATTTCATTTTTATCATCTCTATTTAATGATACAATTAAACCCTATTCAGAGTTAATAATGCGAGTAATCAACCAAAATAAATATAACTAAATTCTACATTTTAGATCATTAAATTACCAATAATTGAATTCCTATAAACCTGCTCACAGGATTATGGAATTTTCAAGAATTATAGAATACCAATGATTGGATTGATATTTTATTCATCATTAAGTTATGCAGTACTCTGAATTATGCTAAAATTAATTTACTAACAACAACATATTCTAAAATTATAAAGTATTTTAACTAGTTACATGGCAAAGGCGTTTCTGATGCTGGCAGATTAAACAGTTCACAAAAAGAATGATATTCCGAGGCAGATGATGATGGAGTACCACTGGTTCCTTGATTCAAAACATTCTGAAATAAGAAAAATTTAAAAATTCAATTATTTAAATTTTTCTTCCTTTAATTACAAAATAAAATAATATTTAATAATAAGACCTAATTCCAATTATAAATCACTGCTAATAATTTATTCAACTTCTTATAGTATAGAATTAAATTAATTTGCTTCTTTGACAAATATTGTATATTTTGGCATATAAAGTGACCTTCAGATAAGATGATACCTAAATTTCAGTCTAAATTTAAGGAATTTAGTTCTTATCAGTTGTATAAGACAATGCAAAATTATTAAACCATAAATGATTTAATAATTTTGGATTGCCATTTATGGAGAAAGATTTTAACCATCAGATAGCAATCATCATCACAGTGATACACAATAGTAATAAGATTCAGAGTGCATAGATATAAGTATACACTGTTAGCAAGCAGTCTGTATTTGAACACAACAGTCCCGTATTCAGAATTCTAAGAGCCCTGGACCCAGTTGTCTTTGGCATCCTTCTATTCCATGTATGTTTGCAAGTTTACAAAAACTTGCATTCTTATTACTGTAGGCTATATCAGTTTATTAAACTTAAATTATTTCTTCAATGTATTTGAAATGTTTAGGTATTCAATTAATAATCATTTAATAATAATTAATACTACACAGTTGAAACTGTTCATCTCAAATCTCAAGGAAATGAGAAAAATTGAGATAGACAGGTTTCAAGCTATAGAGGTTCCTATACAGTAGACAGTAATAGGTTTGATTGGAGGTACAGTATTTTATTAATACAACAGCAAGTACAGTACACACCTGTATTAGATATAAATAAAACATTTTTGACATATCTTAATGGAAATAGTTTATCAATAGTTTCTGTTCTTTATTACTGTTGAAAGAGTATTTGATGGAATATCAAACTTGGTCACAACTTCATTTTTTCTCATCTGAGGATTTCTGTCTAAAATTTTAAGATTTTAATTTTTTCTTCAATTGCGAAGGCAATCAACTTTCTTTTCACACTAATCATTTACTTAATGTTGCAATCACAAACTTAACAAATGTAAAGTAACCATTAGTCAAGAACATTCATTAAGATGGCCCACCCAGGAGCAGACTAGGGGACCCTGACACTGCCCAAAGTAAAAGGAAAAGAAACACTAGCAAAATTTTCCCAAAATATTTTCCTAATTAAAACTCACTTTTTTTTATTTATATTGTGTTGTGTGTTATATTTCTATATTACTTGTGAATTAGTGGTCACATAAGGTAGGGTTTTTATTGAGTTCACCCTAAAATTTATCATATGTTCAATTTGGCTTCCCAAGATTAAATCTTGTGTGCGCTACTCATGTCATCTGTAATAACAAGTAATAAGGTGCAAGCCAAACTTTTAACCAGTCAGATAAAAACAGCATTAATTGCAACTAATGTATGTACTGTATTGCAAGAAATGTTTCTCAACTACAATTTATGCTATCAAAATGTAAGTGCTCTGCTTTGAATTTATAATTGAAACTTCAGTCCATAATTTGAGATACAGAGGTTTCATGAGAAAATTATTTGAGATAAACTTTGAAAATATATTGAATTTAGGCTGGAAATGCAGGAGAAAAAATAAATTTCAAGATATAAAGATTTTTGAGATAAATATGTTTGAGATGGACAGATTCAACTGTAAATGCATACCAAAAAAAAAACAAAAAACATTAATTCTAAAATCTGTGTCCTGACTGAAAGCTTGGTGAGCCCATTTATAAATCTGACATTGATCATTAAAAGGCACATTCTTCTTAAGACTCATGTAGTTGTTATTAGTAGTGTGGTTATGAAGTGGGCCATGAAACCTGTATTGGTACTTTGTCTAGAATTTTGAGTCCTTGGATAGGCTCTGGTTTTGGAATTTCTTTTGATGATTCAAGCATCATCTTATCTACCAAAATTGTGATAACTGTAAAAATTTGCATATTGATTGACTTGTTAATGAGAGATCAGCATAACAAAGGCTACTTAGCAGACCTGACTTGCAATGGGATCAACCAACATGGAATAGAAAATGATGCCCAAACTAAAATTATATCATCATTATATAAATAATGATAGACATCCAGAATGGATGGAACTCAAATCCTTCATTCTAAATTCCTTCCTACTTCCTGAATTATTTTATCATTATCTCTATTTTGTATCAATTGTTTTTATTTTAAGGTTTTAAATTTTATATCATATAAAAATTAATAATAAACTGATTTTTGCTATCACTTTGATATCTATATTATTAATACTTTTTAAAAATAGAACTATTTTATATTAATGTAAATAATCTCTCTCTATAACATAAACAGCAAATATTGATGTACAGTACCTATTAATTAAATACAACTATTTATTTACATCATGTGAATGTGTGTGAAGTTTGGAATATTAACAAGAGATTTTCAAAAATAATGACAATATCTTAAAACTAGAATTAGTAATATTATATACAAGCAGACCCCGCCACATGTTTTTGTGGCTCAAAATGTATCTATTATAAATGTATGAGGTCTGTTCAAAAAATATGCAGACTGACGTCATAAAACAAAATGTACTTTATGTAGAAGTTACATGTCTGGGTCCCCTTCAAAGTACTCTCCTTCCGAATACACACACTTATCCCAACGGGGTTTCCACTTGTTGAAACAGTCCTGGTACACTTCTTTTGTAATGTCCTTCAACACCTTCATCGCATTTGTCTTAATCGCGAGAATTGTCTCAAATCTTCTTCCTTTCAAGGGTCTTTTGAGTTTGGGGAACAAGAAAAAGTCACAAGGAGCATGGTCAGGTGAGTAAGAGGGGTGGAGAAGAACAGTGATCGAGTGTTTGGCCAAAAACTCACGAGTTCTGAAGGCTAAATGGGCTGGAGCATTGTCGTGATGGAGAAACCGGTTACCACTGTTCCACATTTCTGGCCTTTTGTGATGGATGGCGTCCCTCAGACATTTCAGAACTTCAATGTAGTAAGTCTGGTTCACTGTGGAGCCTTGGGGGAGGTACTTGTGGTGAACAACACACTTAGCATCAAAGAAAACTGTCAGCATCACCTTGACATTGGATCAAACTTGGCAAGCTTTTTTGGGTCTGGGGGACCTCTTGAAACATGCCGTACACTTCATAGCAACATCACTGTAAGCCGTCTTGAGCATAGCAAATGTTTCAGTTGCAGATTTTCCAAGTTTAACACAAAATTTCACCGCAAGTTGTTGTTCCATCAGGTCGTTCATTCTGAAATCTGACAAACAAAAAAAAAATCGCACTTCACTAAAAACCGCATAGCTAATCAACAAATCAAGATATCTGTAATTGGAAAACGGCTTTATCACCAGACAATCTGTACAAACCTAGCGACACCAAGTAGATTCCCCTGGAACCAACTGGAGCTGCGCAATTCAAACAGTCCGCATATTTTTTGAACAGACCTAGTATAACACTTCCCCGCGGGGGGAATTTTTCGAAATATCCCTTTTTAGTGTATATTCTGTTGACATACCCTATTAAAACACAATCAAAAATGCAAAAAACTGCATCTAAAATAGTATAAATAGAAGCAGAGTTCTTCATGGTAGCCTTAATCCTGTCCATCTCCCCCAGTGGGGGGGATTTCGACATGTATATTATATAAAAACACGTGTGTATTCGAATGCAACACTATTAAAATTTCAAAGGAATTGGTAGGAACAAACAAACATTACATTTTTATTTATATAGATAGATAAAAGATGATCTGCTTTAGTTCATCCTCACAGAAAAGCAAACTTAGGTTGTCATACTCGCAGAGTTAGCGCCATCTGTTGGACATAAAAGCCTTAATCTTAGATGATAGCTTTTAATTTATATGAATGTTTAATGGAATAATATACAGCCTATGTCCACTCTGAAGTTCCATTCTAAATATTGGTGAAATAATTTTTGAAATAATAACAATCAATATTATAAATCTCAATTCAGAATGTAGTAGAGTCAAAAATAAATTGATCTTTTAATTCAACTTCAACTATGCTAATAGTAAAAGTACTTCACAGAAGACCATCTTCAAAAATAAGCAGCTGCACATTTCTGCAAATGATTGTATCATTTATTAAAATCAGTCTTTCATTCTGCATTATCTCCTCAAATGCAATCACCCTTTCTATCTCTTTTGTTGATTTGAATTTGCAATTTTTTCTTTTTGGTAGAACACACTCTAGTAGCTATGTAGTTTTTTTTTTTTTTCAATTTTTGGAATGTTTTTTAGGTCCCCAAATTTTTTCAAAATTTTTTGCCCGCGCGAAAAAGTTTTATCTCGATTTTAATGAGCCTTTGATAAGGCTCGATTAAGGCTTAATTGTTTTTTAATGGGAGTTTTTTTTATCAATTTTATTTCATGGTTCCTAAGTTGTAGTGCACCGATTTTCCTTCGGTAAAGTTATTTAAAGCTGCTTTCTGATGTCAAAAACGACCTCCAATAGTTTTTAAATTTTTTTAATTAAATATAATTAATTTTATATAAATTTAATTAATTAGGGGGGTCGGAAATCGCAATAAAATTTTTAATTTTTTAAAAATATTTAAAAATATACGGCGAAATTGTAGTCACCCTACTTTAAACCCTTGTCCTCCCGAGACGTATATGAGAATGTCCCGGGTTCAAGCTGTGTTCAAGGTCACCCAGATGTGTAAACAATGACTCATCGGTGTTATATTTCACAGAACGGCGAGACAAAGAAAACCAAAATTTGAAGCTTTTTCTTCAAAATTAACGCATTTCTTTCGTTTTTTTTTTCAGTTTTAAGTATTTTTTACGTTTAATTAAATTAATATCAAAAATTGCTCAGGGCTTAAGGAGTTAAGAATACTGGTATTTTGCCAGTGCATCTTGTTCTCCTAGAGCAATTGTATGATTAAGCATACAAGAACTCTAAGAGTTATACAAGAAATACTGTTTTACTGCCAGTAATAACTTTGCTTATGAAATGTAGAACTTTATAAATTGTGTCAATCAGTTCTCTGCTGATGCTTGCATGTTTTTCATATTATTTATTTGTTAACTTCCTTAGAACTTAAAAACAGATGCAATTCATTGAGAAGAACAGCAAATACAGAACTAGACTAAATTCCAAAAATGTTGATCAGATCAACTATTGATTATCTTAAATTTCCAAAATGAAGAAATGATTGCCAGAAAATTATTTCTTCATTTTTGATAAACCTACTGAACAAAGATCATCCTTTTTTGACCCACAGTCTTCTTTAAAATGCTTATGCCACTAATAATACATGTCAAAAATAATGACAATATCTTAAAACTAGAATTAGTAATGTTATATAAAAATGTCATAAAACAAATGTAGATGATCAAATGACATATGTCATTATATGATTCTTTAAGAAAATTAAATGTTTCAGTAATGTTTTACCAAGTTTGACACAGAATATTATGCTGCTTGTGATGTGTGTCATTTCAGAATTCTGATAACACATATCTACATACTTCAATATTTTCATATTTTGTATTTTTCCATATGAGTGTAGATACCTACAATGTGTCATACAAGTACTAACAAGTCTAAATATATGTTTGAATGCATGCATGCTTGTATGATTACAACCATTAATAATAACATTAAAAGTTTGGTTTATTTTTTAATCTACCACATATTTTACTTTATTATTGTGAGTTTAACATACCTTATTGATTTCAGCTCTATTATGTTTTTTCTCCAATTCTGCATCTGTTGGAAGAGCTCTCCACATTTTTAAAGTAGAATCATATTTTTGTTGAATTCGGGGAAATCGGTAGAAAACATAATCAACAATAAAAAGTTTCACTCCTAAATATAAACCTATTGAATAAAAAAAAAAATTAACAACTACAAAATTTATGCAAGTTACTTCTAAGATAAAACAAAAAACATTAATATGAAATCACAAACTTCAGTCATTTTGAATATGAAATAAGTCCATAACTTATGCAATTAACTCATTCCACAAGTTTCTGCAAAAATCAGACTATACTTAAATATAATGTACTAGCTGTTACCCGCGACTTCGTCTGTGAAGTTTTGCAAGCAAACCCCATTTATATTCAGTATTTCAACAACCATAATAATTGTTATATAACACCTACCACTGAGAATGATGAGAATTGCAGAGAATCAAACAAACTATTTTCAATTTGATCAATTTTCTGGAACATTTACAATCGTTCTATAATCAAACCAATATGCAATAACAAATTTGAATTTAAAACAGTTTGAACATTTGGTTAAAAATTTGAAATATATAAAATATTGTTATCAATTTAATACACCTAAGTACTCAATGAAGACTAAACATTGTTGAAAACAAAAAATCATACTTAAAATAGTACAGTAGAAGCCGTTCTTCTGATAAAACCTTAATGCTTCCCTCTTCCCCTCGCTGGGGAATTTTGAAAAACCCCGTCTTAGTGTGCATTCCCATAGCGTACCCTACTAAAATGCAGTTAAAAACAAAAAATCTCATTTAAAATAGTACAGTAGAAGCCGTTCTTCCAGTTAAACCTTAATGCTCTCCTTCTCCCCCGCTGGGGAATTTCAAAAAATCCCTTCTTAGTGTGCGTTTCCATGACGTACCCTAACTGTGTACCAAATTTTACCTCTTTAGGTTCAGCGGTTTGCTCTGGGCGATGAGGAATCAGTCAGGACAAGTAAATTTATATATTTAGATTTGTAACACATGTATTAATTTTAATGAATCATTAAAGCCAAACAACTGATTATTAAAAGAAAACTTCAAGAAAATAAAAGTCTCTCTCTCAAATTTTTGCTGTTTATTATATATGTTCAAAATGGCATTTAATAGATCACAACCACATATCTATGAATCCAATTTAAAATATTAATAAATAAATAATAATAAAAAATCCAATTATATTCATTGTCATCTCTCAATTAATATTTTATAATGATATTTCAATACGAATTTACAAACAAAACAATGAACTTTTTTATAATTAAATGGACTCTTGCTTTTATGATTTACCTTAAATAAATCTTAAAGCAGTTTTCATATATTAAACTAATTTTTATATGTGAAGCATTATAAATTGAAGTTCTATTCCAAGAAATAAAATTTGAACTATACACACACCATCACATTCAAATGGCTAACAGAAAATCATATTTGTTATACACAGCATTTCATATAATCAAAACAGATAATATATATCAATTGAACAAGTAGATGTAAAGCAAACAGTCATTTAGCTAGAGTCTTTTACATCATATTTTGAAGATATTGTTAGAATACTTAATCTATAGACTGTGAATTGTTCAATTAATATATTAAGTAAAGTATGTTTTTCTTAGGTAAATGGAAAAGAGAATGTAATTAATATAATCATTATATTTTTTATTAGTAAGAAAATGTGTCTATTTTTTTTATAAAAAAATTTTCTTAATTCTAACTTGGGTCTATTTTGTGAATAATGATATTTGTATTAATCTTTGTTATAGTACTTATGATAGAAACATAATGTAAAATATATATAAATAAAATTTCTAAGAATGATTTGTAAATGGGATTAAAAATGAAAAATAATTCCATTGATGCAAATATTACTTATATACCTACAATCACATTATTAAATATTTTAGATATAAAAGTTTAAATAATAAGTAAATGCACAGACAATTGCATAAGTAGATATTTGCATCAAAGCAAAGACTTGATAAATTTGTTTGAAAACTGCACTTATCTCTATATATTCAGATAAAAACTAATTGTAGGCCTATGCTTAAAATGTTTTGAGATAAATTATATAGGTAAACTTTCCTTCAATAATAATTAAAAACATGCATTAAAAATGACAAATAAAATAAAGTGAACAAAATTAATACAATGCACTTTCACTAATCCAAATTAATTACTGCATGCAGTTGTTTGAATAGTAAAAAGTTCAGATTAGTGAGTTATAACATATATATAGAAAATAAAATAAAATAGAACTGTAAGCTAATTCATATATTTAAAAATGTTTTTATGCTGTATTTGGTACATATATTTGTGTTAAAATGTATTGTATATATTAATTTTAGAAACTTATATTTTAAAAAATAATCTATAATTTCTTTTTACTCTTGGTTGAAATATTTAGTAAAAAAATTAAAAATGAACAATTTGTTTTTGCATTCCTTTGGAAATTGTAATTGAGAAAACGTCATCCATGATTCAAAATTCAAAAAAAATGTGTAAAGAATGTATGTACCCATACAATCCTTCAGACCAGCGTTTCCCAACCTTTTTGGATTAATGACACACTTTGAATTTAATAAGATTCCTGTGATACACCATACTTTTTAAAATATAATGTTTAAAATTTAAAATAAATTATGGTCAATTTCAAAATTTTTTGATAATATAGAGGCTAAACCTATCAAGACAAAAATACAATTTTACAAATATACAGGTAACCCCGTATAACATGGGAATTATGTTCCAAAAAATTGCCGTGTTATATGAAACAAAGAACTAGTGCGAAAAGGGGGGTTAGGTTCCAAAAATTAAAAAAAATGCTGTTAAATCCTTATTTAAATTGGATTTATTATTCATTTTTTTCATAGGTAAAATACTTATTTATTATTTAAGTAAATATTTTACCAAAGGATTATTCATCCTATATGATCATCTCAGCATGAGCATCATCAACTGGTAGCAGTTTTTGGGTGCGTTCGTTAATAGTGGTCGCTCTGCAACGGGAGTGCGCTGCTGTTTGTAGGCATTTAGGAACAACGGCGAAAGAAAGTTGGCGGCACCTGAACTATGGATAGTATTGTGATGGAGGAATCTATAATTCTAAAATGAGTTTTCAGAGGCAAAAGAAGGGTCCCAATTGTAAAATTTAACCATTAAATGGATTATTTGTTGAAAGATCATTCAAAGTAGCCACGAAAACAATTAGAATGTTCGTGCGGAGTTACGCGGAGGTATAAAAGAATGCACCCTTTATTACATTTCATGTTGTACGAGGGTTTTATCCAATTCCTGTACCGTGTTAGAGTGAACCCATGCTATAAAAGCAGTGTTATACAAGGATGGTCCAAATTCTCGAACCATCCTTCTATAGCATGGATTCACGTGTTAGAGTGAATCCATGCTATAGAAGTGCTATATGGGGGGTTACCTGTACTATAAAAATATAAAAAAAAACTTTGAATCAATGCATAAGAGCCAATATTGGTCTTTAAGCTGGTAAACTGCAACATTTATAAAAGTTCCAAAGACTTGGTATGCTGGCTCACTAAAATGCTGAGCTTTGCACAATCAGCATTTTAGTAGGCATCCTCTTCTCACTTTGGTAGACCAGTGGGAAAAAGATGAAAGACAAATAAAATTTTAAAAAAAGATTCAAAATTCTAAAATATATTTAATATTTCCATGACATACCTGAGGCACTCTCAACACACAAGTGTGTTGCAGCAAACAGGTTGGCAAACACTGCTTTAGATTATTAAATGGATAAACAAATTTTATTATGTAACTATTTTGTAGTTTTAGTATTCATATATATATTTTTTTAATATGTGTATTGTATGTTGTTTTATGATTTTAGTATTTATATTTTCCTGTTTTATTTTTTGTTGTTGTTCATTTTCATTTTTTCGAGGTAAAAACGCATAAACCTTCCTGGCTGCTAAGACCACTAGTCAATAAAAGATACCATCCCACGTACCATCTCGAGGCTGCGCTAGCAAAACATATCACTTCTTTGATTCCACCTTCTGAATTCATAACACATGCCTCCATTGAAGCTAAAGTTACCATCTTACAAAAATTAGGAAACCTCCCTTCTAATTCATACCAACTTTACAAAGTCGATGTCATCTCTTTATTTCTGTCTGTCCCGCATTTTGAGGCTGTCATGCTGGCAAATACTCTATCGTCAATACTAGTCACCCAATATCACATGTTCTACACTTGCAAGAAGCTCGCTCTTTTTCTTGTCACTCATAATAATTATTTCTAATTTAATGGAAAAATATATAAACAAACGCAAGGTATACCAATGGGTTCCCACTATCTCCTGTTTTAGCTGAACTGATTATGAGGAATATAGAACATTGAGTTTTTAATGCCCCCTTAACTGTCCAGTATCCTCTCATGTATATACATTACGTTGATGATGTGTTAATTGCATGGGACGGCTCCAATGAGGGTTTACAACAATTCACGCAAATGTTAGCCTCTATTTATCCTTCAATTAATTTTACTGTTGAAGAACAAAAAAACAATAGAATCTCCTTCCTGGATCTAGACCAAGGGTGGGCAACCTTTTTTATAACATGGGCCAGAATAAATTTTACGTTTTTCTGCGGGCCATAGTAGTTAATTGACACCTTGTGACCTGTAAACTTTTAGTCTGCAAATATGAAATAAATAAATAAAAAGAAATTAATTACTACAGTCGATCCCCCCTACAACACTGTTGATTATTCCGTTTTATATGAATTCCATGTTGTAGGAGTCACTTAGATTTTACAAATGCGTGTGCCGGGCTGTGAATGGCTCATCTATTTGTAAAATCTAAGTGACTTTAAACACAATAAAAACAGCACTATGTAGTTGGATACGACAGACATTACATTTTCTAATTGCATAGCTTTAGCATATAGATTTTCTTGATGGATGATGCGATGAGATATAAATAATTTAGAAAAATTCTGTACTCCCATTTTTTGTTTGAATAAGGAAATGACTCCTTTATTTTTTCCTGTCATTGCTGCTGCAACACTTCAGAAAATAATATTCAATTTAAACTAGACGAATTATATCGAAATATATTTATTTATAATTTCTTCTAAACATCTCGCGGGCCGGATAGAAACTTTTCGTGGGCCGTAGCTGGCCCGCGGGCCGGGGGTTGCCCACCGTTGATCTAGACATATGTATGTCTCCGGAGCTTACATTCACTGTACATCATAGAAATAATAAAGCACCGCAAATCGTGCCTGCTACTGCTTACCAGCCACCACACTACAAAAATTCTGCTATTTCTTCTCTAATACGGAGGACATACCTTCTTCCTTCTACTCAATCACTAGTGGAAGAGGAGTTATTTATCATTTATAATGCCATGTTAAATGCTGGTTATTCATGCTCTAAATTTACATTTCTTCAAAACCGTGTTAAGAATAAATTATTTCCGCAATCTTTTCTTTCTATTAAGGAAAACCTAAGAATAGCACATCCCCAATACCCTATTTAGGTCCCATTTCTTTAAAAATTGCACATATGTTTAGAACTAACAGTTTTGTTCTACCAATAACACCACCACCAAGTCTAAGAAGACTACTATGTAATGATAGGGACAGATATCAGTGGAACGAAAAATCAGGAATCTACCAAGTCCTGCTAAAACATGCATTGTCAAGTGAAGAAACCAGTTATGTAGGGGCCATAACTAGAAGATTATGTTCATGTATTCTTGAACATCAAGACGACATCAAAAACGGCAGGCCAGTTACAGAGTTAGCAAAGAAAGTGCTTGACCACAATTACCAGCCGCTCTGGAACAAAACAAAATTACTGAAAGGCTGCAATGAACATAAAGAGCTATTTATTTGGGAGAGTCTCTATATTTCATCCACTGAACCGTGCAACTCCCCAACTCTCGAATTACCAGAACTTTGGGTAACAGCCTTTAAACAACTAAATCCATGATGTTGAAGTCTTTGCTACTCGGATGTCTTTTTGACATATCTTATACTTTATGCATGTTCTGGGCTCTTTTACGGCCTTATTCTTCCTAAAACATGCTTAAGTAAAACTGTTTTCGTTCCACACGCTATGATGCAAAAAACGATTTTTAAATATCATTCAAAAACGAAAAAATCAGTTAATTCGACGGAAATATTGTTCGATAATTTCAAAAATCCGAAATTTGTGAAACCGTCGGATAAGTGTTCGAAAATCTTAAGCTGTATTTGATAGACCACCTGAAGACAGTAGTTATATACTGCTGAAAGTGCTAGTGGATGAGTTCATTTTCTAAAGTTGGATGAGTTCATTCTCCAAGACTTCATTTTTTATGCATTTATTTTATGTAGGAGACATTTGTTATTGCAGATGAATTGTTTGTCAACATGAAATGATCACACACATTATAATAAAGGAGAAATAAAAAAATCCAGCAATGAGTTGCTTAACTTTCTTGGCAACATTTGGTGGTGCAATCTGTTATCATATTTTATTAAAAACTTTTTAAATTTTAAATGTTATAAAATGGCAAAAAGCTTAGCTCTCCACCCCCTTGAACTTTAATCACCAAAATTTAATAGCATCAATCCCCGTAATAAACAAACCTCCCTGAAAAATTTCAAAAATTTTCAACAAAAAGTACAGGTTGTTATTAAGCTTCAAAGAGGGTGAACAAAATTGACCCCCCACATACACATTCTAACATCCATACATACAGAAAAAAACCCCTGAAATTTTTTTGCATTTCTCAACATTTCAAGGTGTCCTGAGTGAAAAAAATGTAAAAATCTTGGGGGGCCATTTTTTGACTGATTGCCATACTTTCCTTCTGTTATATATAACAGCCAAGAAAGTAAAAATTGGTTCAGATTAGCATCATTTGGATTAGTGCAAGCTTGTTTTGGCAAGTGTGTGTATTGTATAAAAACACTTTATTCACAATATAGAAATATACAGAATTTAAAGATTATATACATCATAGCATATTCTATTACAGTAATGATCTTACTTCTATATATTTGTTAACACATCAGATAAATTATGATTAAAATCAGCAGCTTAATTATATTAACATTAAAAATAAAATAATAAAAAAATTACGTAAATGCATCAAAACAAAAGAATGAGAAAATATTCTTGATTATTTTAAAATTAATTTTTAAAACAATTAAAAAGTAAGTGTTTCTCATCTAATTTTCCCTATATATTTTATTTCATAATTTTATTGCATTGATTTAACTGATTTTTCAAAAATAAACTTTAAAATATCTTTAACAACTCACCTACAGTTGTAAAAAGCTGATTAGCTGGGAAGACACAAGAAGCAAGAAATGCAGCTAACAATAGAACATAAAGTTGAGCTGTAACATCAGATTGTTCCCAAAGCAAACAACTAAATCATAAACAATAATAAATGCAAAATAATTCAATACTATTAGAATTAAAATAATTTTTATTTATAAAATAATAAGCTTGTCTACAATCTAGACACTATCAGTACAGGAAGTCCTTGACTTTTGAACATTTCACTGTTTCAAACATATTTTAATACTTCGAAATACCTTTTAGTATGCCAAATTCAGACTTTTTTATATTTTTGGTCAACAAACAAGTAGTGATACTTTCTGCCAGTATTGGTTTCAGTAACATGAAAAACATTTGTGAGAATTAATTTTATACATTCTTTTTACTTATTCCTCTAAATTCTAACCTCGTGTTACATTATAACATGTCAAATGTTATTCTGATAGATTAATTTTATTTTTGGTATTAAATTGTTTTCAGGGTCCATTCAACTCATCTTCCAAATTTAATTGAACATGATTGACATTTTAATTTTCAAATATTTATGGAATTTCAAATGTTAGAACATGGGATTTTATACACCAAAAAACTACTATAGCATGCCACACAACTGCCAGATTAAATCAGGCTAATTCTCCACTATTATTTTAACTTCTAACTAATTTGTCACTAGAGGCAAGCATTAGGTACCATCTCTCATTAATTTAATAATTATAATTAAATTAATAATTTATAAATAATTTAGAATATTCTGGAATAAAAGAATCAAGCCAGAGCAGGACTCAAACCTCAATTACCACTGACTGATGTGTTGACTCACCTACTGTCATTAATATATACATATTATGTATAACTATTAGAACAATTCTTTTAACTTAAGAAATAAGTAAAAAGGTTGTTCTAATTCTTCAGAAATTTAAATGTCAGTTATGATCAATTAAGTTTAGACATTGTATCTGTAGGTGAATTGAATGGACTCAAAAAACATTTAATATAAAAATTAAAATGATCTTAAGCAGAATAGTATTTGAGATGTTATAATTTTAACTTTTCTGTTTAATCTATAGTTTAAACATTTTAAATGTTTAATGTACATTCATTATAAAAATATAAAACTTTCCTACCTTAATAAGAGTTTTTATAATTTTTTCTTTTAACTTTCTGAAAATGACATTTCCTTTATAATGCACAGCTATATTGCTTGGCTTTGTGTACATTTTTAAGAACACATTACATCCAAAAGTTGGGGACTACCTGAATTTTACCATAATGTAATGATATACTATTATGCTATTGATGTGTTTATGCTTAAATTAAATAAACAAAACTGCTATTTTATTATGCAATTCAAATCATTACATTCATATTATTCTTTATATCTTCTTGAATATAAATCATAGAAATGTTAGTTTTTCAAGCATATAAAGGATAAATTTTGTAAATACTGCAAAATAGTAGCTTTTAAATTAATTAAGGTCAGAAACAGTTAGTACAGAATATGTACTGATGATTATTATTAGATCATATTTATTAAAATAAGTCTCAGCTAAAAAATGCTTCCTAAAATAAATCTCTGTTCAAAGACTTATATAGTCAGTTACCTAGCAAAATGGACTATCATTCAACATGAAAATATTCAAAAAAAAAACTGTTAAAAATGAAAACATTCAACTAGTGATATATAGTAACTTACATCAACCTTGCACATATTTCCAGCAGCACCAAGACATTATGAAATATACAATGCAAGTGTTTTTGGCCCCATTTAGTGGCCAGTTATAGATTCTACTGAAGATTCGTGTTGCAAAGCAAATATTGTAAATGTTCTGGAATTTTCTTAAAATCTGTTCTTGTAGGTTGATGTAAGCTAATGTTTGTATTAATTCCAGCTTTACAGTATGTATAATTAGTTATATATAATTATACATTAATAGTTTGTCATTTCAACATTTATTCTCTTTGTATATAGTTAGCTTCTTATTATACAAATATAATTATATAAGAATAAATGACAATCCATTTGAAAGCACAAACTCATTTATGAACAAAAAATGTTAGTTAAATAATATTGGTTTATGTTTAAAAAAAAAAAAAAACTAAACTTTACTTCAGAATAAAAATAAATTTTTCTCCTTAAAGTTCTGAAATGAAATGATTACACAAGTATTTTCTTCCATTTGAACAGTTTTAAATATCAGCCTGGCCTCTCTCATTAGACAAAGGTCAAGCTCACAAAAACTGTTTTTGTGACAAAATAATGAAATAAGCTAACTTTTGTATTCTCTTGCTTCAAAAGGAGGATTCCAAATTTTGAATCTTATAATTTAATATTTTCATTTTTACAAAATTTCACTGCAGACATTCTTCAAATAAAAAAATAATAATGAATAATCCAAATAAGTCAGTAAAAACTATACAGTAAATTTAAAAATTTGCATGTAAAGTTTTTTTACATTTTTTCAAAAATGAAAATACTTTTATAAGTATGACTCCATCAATAGGATAAATGAGGGAGCCTGAAAATAAAGTATTTGTATGTGCGAGATGTAAGATAGCATAAAATTTCTATAAATCTAATAGTTATAGGCTTACCAAACTTCAAAATTAATTATCTTGTTAATGACAGTAAAATCTGTATTAATTGGAAACATATTAGTCAGATAAAAGTCTTAATCTAAGAAAAAAAAACAATAAATTCAGAATTTGTTTAGATTACGAAAACACAATTTACAAAGTGCCTATCCTTCATTCCTTAGTAAACACTAATTTTTGTTTTATGAAATCAAAATAAAAATTTACTAATTATTTGAAAATAAGTTTGGCATCCAAAATGAAACAAGTTACATTATCAAAATTTCTTTACTATAATGTGTCATACTATGTTATATTAATTTCCTTGTATAGACCTTCTGCTATCAAAACATTATCTGAATCATAATAATGATAACTGTTTACAATATTTTTTGAAAATAGATGTCACCAGATATGAAATTGCAATGCAAATTCTTTTGTATTGAAATGTTATTTCTTCATAAAAAAAATTAAAATGGAGAAGATTTATCCAATTTTTGATACTTAACCAAATTATTTCAAAAACTGTAAGGAATATTTTAAATTTGAAGTACTTCACAAGAATTTATCTATAATAATGATAAGAATTTAGTTTATGTCCAGAGAAATCAAATGATTTAGTAGAATTCCTCCTTCAAACTTTTTTAAAACTTTTTCATCGTATGGATGCTAATGATCGATTGCAGAGATAGAGTTTACATTAAACAACATTTAACAGCCAAACGGCATCTAGATATTGGCTGGCTAAACCGTGGTTTAAAATGCATTGCAAAGACAATGATCATCTATTTCTGAACACCATCTAAATGAATCTTGACACAATGTTGGCTATTACTTTCGCTTCTGTTACTCCCTCTTTCAGGAGTTATTTAACCAATCAGGTCATTCATTTGTGATGTCTGAAAAATGGCGACAAACAACTGAAGCACGCAGAAATTTTTCTGAAGAAGGAAAAAGTGTCCTTGCAGAAACAATAAAAAAATTATCCTTCAGTTGAGGAAAAAGATATGAAAGAAATCGCCATCTATTGGCAACTGTCTAATGAAAATTTTTAAATGATACATTTACAGATTAACTTGGATTACTTGCTTCCTTAATTAAATATCAAATTGATATTAAAGTTTTAGAAGAAATTCAAAATGCATTCATTATTAATTTATATTACGAAACATGTGTGCAATTTTAAAGAATACTTGATTGTATAAATTTTATTTAATAGATGTTGAGTAAATAAAATCTCATGTTTTACATTATTTGTGAAATAAACTGGTTTATCAAATACAGTATACTGGAAAGAACAAGTATGGTAAAACTTTTTATTTTGAATAGAATTTTCATATAAAATGAAAACACAAAAAAATCTTAATAATTATTTAGAGATGAATTTTGTTTTTATATGATGGGTTTACTTTTTATCAAATTGTATGGTTCTGAAAAGGACCTTTTGTCATAGTCCTAAAGTACTGTTTTATTTAACTAAAATGTTGTATACAATAGACCTTCAAAAAACACATCCAGAAACTGATTGTTCACTGACTTTCCTCTTCTCTTTCTTCATTTATATTGCTAGTGGTAAATTCTTCTTCTTTTAAATCTATGGTCCAATTATGTAAAATTGCTGTAGCTATTATTATATTCAGGGTATTATTTAATTTTGTTCACAAACAATTACCAATGCATGAGAATCTTCTTTCCAGACACCAAGTAATCTTTCAATAACATTTCTTGCACATGCATGAGCTGTATTATACCTTCTTTCAGCATGATTTTGTGGATGTAAAAATGGTGTCATTAAATAAGGCAAACAAGGATAACCAGAATCACCAACTAAATATCCATTACAACATCCTTGTTGAAGATTTTCTTTAATGCTACTATTAGCAAAAATTCTGCTGCCATGTTAATCTTGGCCATCAGGCAACAATGTTTATTTTCATTTTTCCATCAAAGATTACCTGGAATATATATTTAAATGTGCATCAATTATATATTTTCATTAAAGTTATCAGTTTGAGATATAAATGTAATTTGACATTCTAATTTTATTATTTATCATTTGTCAGAGATAAAATTAATTAATTAATAATAAAACTTTCATAACTATTAAAAATACAGGCATACCTCGACTTACGTCGGTTTCGAGTTACGTCGTTCCCGATTATACGTCGCTTGTTAAAAAAGTATATGGAAAAATAAAAATCAAGTTTAAGTCATTTTATTCGACTTTACGTCTGTCCGCCACAAATATTGAAGTCGTAATATCACTAGATAAACGTTTAAAGCACATAAAATCATATTAAAATATATACAAGTATGTACTGTATTTACAGTACACGCATTCGTAAATTTAGATTACTTTTTTTGTACTATATTAAAAACTAAAATTTATTTGTTTGTAAGGTTAAAATAGATTTTTATTAACCATATATTATTTAAAATGCTTTCCTAGTGATAAGTAGATTCGGAGACAGGTAAATTCGACTTACGTCGTTTTTCGACTTACGTCGTTTTCCTGGAACCAATTACCGACGTAAGGCGAGGTATACCTGTATTAGGAAAATGCACAGGCCATTGCATAATAAATAGTCATTTAAGTTATCAATCATTTACAATCATAAAAAAATTTATGGAAGAAAATAAAATTGTATGTTATTGAAAATTAATATATGATTTTCTTAACCTCATAAATATAAATAAAGTTGATGACATATATAAGTAATTCTCATCTGGCAGTTAATGGAATGAAGTGATTTGCAATTATAATTAGCTGAGCTCTACTGTTATCAGGACATTGTACAGGAATATGAGTTGCAATCAATTGCCCCAATTATTCTGGGAAAGTTATCCTTGGATAAAGTGGAAAAATCTTGAATAGTAGATGGAAGTTCAGATTCCATCAGAAATACAATTTCATCATTCTTCATACAAATTAATGCCTTGGAAACACTGGATAGTTCTGATAATGATATGCAATAATTATTAAAGAATATAATATTTAAGCTATTAATACAAAGTGGGAAAAAACCTTATTCCTATTATAAACTTCTTTATCACTACACAAAATTTAAATGTATTTAATAAGAGTTTGATACATACCTGCATACAGTAGAGACGTGAACTCCAATAAAATCACCAGCTATTCTCTGAAAGCTTCCAGTAGTATAAAATCGTAAGGCCATTAACAACTGTTATTCAACATTTAATGGCAATCCTCTTCCATTTAGATGTTTAACTTCATCACCAATATGATTTAAAATATGAGCAAATCCAGACTTAGAAAATCTATAGTGAATTTAGAATTTTTCTTTGAAATAGATTTTTAATGGATTACTCCAATCTCATATTATTCTCTCCCTTTGTAATTGTCAAGATGAATAATTTTGTTGATTTGTCCAGTACAATACTTTTGAAATGAATGATATCCATTTCTAACTAAACTTGTGATGAAAAAATCAATATGGCAACTTCCACTCAAAGTAAAATGCAGTCTAAACCTGCTGTCAAGTCAATCTAGAAAGTCGGCCAAATTATTGATTTCTAAATTTTTAAATTGTCTAAACTTTGGCAAGTGAGAAACACCATCTCTGCAATGAAATTTTTCTGAACCACAGTCTAGATCTGTGTTTCTCAACCGCCAGTCCACAACTCTAATCTGACCAGTCCACAAAAACTTTAAAAATATATATTTAACCTGTCATGCATTGTTCCCGAATAGGAAATATGTGGATTATTAATCCGTTTATTGATCAGCAAACTAATAGATTGAACAACTTTAAACAGGAAAAACTAATCAAATTAAGTTCAGACTTGGAATTAAAAACATTATTTGAATCAATGCCCATAACACAGTTTTGGATTAAAGTTAAAACTGATTATCCAGTTTTACATGAAAAGGCAGTTAAGATCAACAACAACGTACTTATGTGAATCAATGTTTTCAGTAATGGCAATGATAAAATTGAAACAATGAAATCATTTAAGTGTTAGTTCTGCCTTATGCCTTGCAGTTACCACCTTAAATCCAAAAATTGATCTTACTAGCAAAAGAGAAAAGCAGCGATCACATTGATTTGTATACTAATGTACAGGTAAATAAATAACAAATATTTATTGCTCAATGTAGTTTGCAGTTCTTTTTTACAACAGAGAATTTTTTTCAATTAAAAATAATATTGTGACTGGTCCGCTTAAAAAAAGCAGATATTTTCTGGTCCACAATAAGTTTTGGGTTGAGAAACACTGGTCTAGATGATCTCTAAATTATCATCCACATCTAAATGTTGTCTCTGCAATCTGCCCTGTGTCTAAGTTTGACTATATCCATAATAAGGGCTAACAAGAAATAATAAATTACTAATAAATCTGGATTGATCCCTCTGTGAAAATCTGAGCTAAATCAGAATCAATTTGGAGACAGACTCTAGAATGATAATCTTTTACCACCTCAATTATCCAGCTATCTCCTTTAAAATATTATCTAAATATTGCATCATTATCTAAATTATAGTTAATCTAGATTGTTACAAAGAAGTATCTTCAAACTATCACAAAAACCTACATATATTCAAATAAATAATTTAATCCTGTATCAAAATATTGATTTTACAGAGGTCTTTTATTAACAAATGCATCAAATAACAGAGTTAATCCCAGTCCTTGTTTTATATGTATAATATTGTATTAAAAAGTTACTAGTATATTAAAAATATAATTAATTCATATAAAATCTAATAAAAATTTTCCAGCTTTTTTTTCCAGAATAAGAATTTCTTTTAAAATTAAGTTCACTTAAGTCTTTTAAAAGAAACAAACACCAGACAACAATTTCTGCTATGTTTTATTAATAAATATTAATGTAAACTTATAATTTTTAATAATAAATATAAACAAACAACACTCTGAAAACCTGATACATTATAATAACAAAGCCAACCACTGCTGCATGCATTCAGGCTATATAATGACTATATTAATAATAAATTATCAAACAATTTGACCTTAGAGGGAGGCATTAGGTGCCTTCTTGTAATAAATTTAATAATTATAATCTGGCAATGCACAGTAAGCAGCAGTTGGGTTCAAGTCCCACTCCAGGCCAATTCTTTTCTTCTAATTTAATCTAAATTATTTAATTAAAATTATAATTATTAAATTTATTACGAGATGGTGCCTAACACCTCCCTCTAGGGTCAAATTGTTTAATAATTTATTATTAATGTAGCCATTTTATAGCCTAATGGCAGTGGTTGTCTTTGTTATAATAATAAATACATATTAAATAAAAAATTATTTTTTCACTAACAGACTTCTCATTCTAATTTTAAAATTCTTGCCAAATTTTACTAGCAACCAAATAAATGCATTAAAAATATTTAATTCATTTATTTAATTCAAGCTTAATTTTTAATATACATAAGAACAAAACTTATATACCCAATATTTTTAAAGTGGTAATTAATTCTGCTTAACTATGTATAATAATTTCATTAGTATAAAATATTTACAGTTTTATTATCAATAATAAGCCTATATTAACAAATTCAAAGCATCTTCAAATGCTCTGAATAAAAAAAACAAAAGTACTCATTAATTTTTGGATTATTTACATAATTTTAATTGTATTGTTAATAAAATTGTAACTATACTGTAATAAACTTTTTTGACAAACAAGATGCCTATTTTTTTTATATTTATAATTTCACCTATTTCAAATTTTTTTTAGCAAAAATAAAAATTAATACTATATTATAAATTTTAGTTAAATTATTATTTATATCAAAATAACTAATTTTAAGTTTTAAAATTTAATTTGATAAATTCACTATTAAAACAGACTAGCTTTTTGAGAATCCACTACATATATCAGTTTTAATTATCATTTTGTTCATACTCACTTTTTAATTTTTTCACAGCAATCAGCAATGTGTCCAGATTGATTCTGAAAGTTAATTTATAATTAAAAAACTTAAAAAGTAAAATAAATGTACAAACAATTTCATTTATATTAAGTACAGTGAAAGCAAATTCATATGTTAGACAATAAATTATGTTTAGTTAAATTTTACAATTAATCAACTAGTGATTATATTATTGGGAAATTTTATATATGGGGAATTTTTTAAATCTGAAGTGATGCTTGGAAATTTAGATTTATTTTTATAAAAAACAATTTCTAGAATTTGAAAGATATTTAAATTTTAGGCATTGTAAATATTAATAATGCTAATCCATTAATAACACCTATACACTACTAATGGAATCGGCCATATCGCAATCAATAACCCAGGATCAAAACTCAATATTGCAATCAGCATCACCCCTGGTATTCTCAAATTTTAAAAATTCCTTCTGATTCCAGATTTATTATAACTGATATAAATATGAATATTAAACGATTATTCTTACAACTTCGTCTAAATAAACATTCCTTGTTGGTTAATAATACATATATAAATTGTTCTAAACAATAGTGCTATTGGTGTAAATTGGAAAACTTTTCTATTCTTCATCTGTTGAAAGACTGCACAGCTATTAAAAAATATCGTCAGAAATACCAAATAACAAAAATACTTGGCATGAACCATGATTAAAATTATATGTTGAGAATTGGAGATTTATTAAAAAATGATATGTATAAACTACATAACTTTTTCACCCAGATTACTAATATATTTGATAATGATGTTATGAATTAATATTTAGCTAATGTTATGCAACTATAACATTTTTATGAATTATATCAACCTTGCACATATTTCCAGCAGCACCAAGACATTATGAAATATACAATGCAAGTGTTTTTGGCCCCATTTAGTGGCCAGTTATAGATTCTACTGAAGATTCGTGTTGCAAAGCAAATATTGTAAATGTTCTGGAATTTTCTTAAAATCTGTTCTTGTAGGTTGATGTAAGCTAATGTTTGTATTAATTCCAGCTTTACAGTATGTATAATTAGTTATATATAATTATACATTAATAGTTTGTCATTTCAACATTTATTCTCTTTGTATATAGTTAGCTTCTTATTATACAAATATAATTATATAAGAATAAATGACAATCCATTTGAAAGCACAAACTCATTTATGAACAAAAAATGTTAGTTAAATAATATTGGTTTATGTTTAAAAAAAAAAAAAAACTAAACTTTACTTCAGAATAAAAATAAATTTTTCTCCTTAAAGTTCTGAAATGAAATGATTACACAAGTATTTTCTTCCATTTGAACAGTTTTAAATATCAGCCTGGCCTCTCTCATTAGACAAAGGTCAAGCTCACAAAAACTGTTTTTGTGACAAAATAATGAAATAAGCTAACTTTTGTATTCTCTTGCTTCAAAAGGAGGATTCCAAATTTTGAATCTTATAATTTAATATTTTCATTTTTACAAAATTTCACTGCAGACATTCTTCAAATAAAAAAATAATAATGAATAATCCAAATAAGTCAGTAAAAACTATACAGTAAATTTAAAAATTTGCATGTAAAGTTTTTTTACATTTTTTCAAAAATGAAAATACTTTTATAAGTATGACTCCATCAATAGGATAAATGAGGGAGCCTGAAAATAAAGTATTTGTATGTGCGAGATGTAAGATAGCATAAAATTTCTATAAATCTAATAGTTATAGGCTTACCAAACTTCAAAATTAATTATCTTGTTAATGACAGTAAAATCTGTATTAATTGGAAACATATTAGTCAGATAAAAGTCTTAATCTAAGAAAAAAAAACAATAAATTCAGAATTTGTTTAGATTACGAAAACACAATTTACAAAGTGCCTATCCTTCATTCCTTAGTAAACACTAATTTTTGTTTTATGAAATCAAAATAAAAATTTACTAATTATTTGAAAATAAGTTTGGCATCCAAAATGAAACAAGTTACATTATCAAAATTTCTTTACTATAATGTGTCATACTATGTTATATTAATTTCCTTGTATAGACCTTCTGCTATCAAAACATTATCTGAATCATAATAATGATAACTGTTTACAATATTTTTTGAAAATAGATGTCACCAGATATGAAATTGCAATGCAAATTCTTTTGTATTGAAATGTTATTTCTTCATAAAAAAAATTAAAATGGAGAAGATTTATCCAATTTTTGATACTTAACCAAATTATTTCAAAAACTGTAAGGAATATTTTAAATTTGAAGTACTTCACAAGAATTTATCTATAATAATGATAAGAATTTAGTTTATGTCCAGAGAAATCAAATGATTTAGTAGAATTCCTCCTTCAAACTTTTTTAAAACTTTTTCATCGTATGGATGCTAATGATCGATTGCAGAGATAGAGTTTACATTAAACAACATTTAACAGCCAAACGGCATCTAGATATTGGCTGGCTAAACCGTGGTTTAAAATGCATTGCAAAGACAATGATCATCTATTTCTGAACACCATCTAAATGAATCTTGACACAATGTTGGCTATTACTTTCGCTTCTGTTACTCCCTCTTTCAGGAGTTATTTAACCAATCAGGTCATTCATTTGTGATGTCTGAAAAATGGCGACAAACAACTGAAGCACGCAGAAATTTTTCTGAAGAAGGAAAAAGTGTCCTTGCAGAAACAATAAAAAAGTATCCTTCAGTTGAGGAAAAAGATATGAAAGAAATCGCCATCTATTGGCAACTGTCTAATGAAAATTTTTAAATGATACATTTACCATGAAATGATCACACACATTATAATAAAGGAAAAATAAAAAAATCCAGCAATGAGTTGCTTAACTTTCTTGGCAACATTTGGTGGTGCAATCTGTTATCATATTTTATTAAAAACTTTTTAAATTTTAAATGTTATAAAATGGCAAAAAGCTTAGCTCTCCACCCCCTTGAACTTTAATCACCAAAATTTAATAGCATCAATCCCCGTAATAAACAAACCTCCCTGAAAAATTTCAAAAATTTTCAACAAAAAGTACAGGAATAATTAAGCTTCAAACAGGGTGAACAAA